TTGGGGTCGCGAAACTAAGTAAGGATCATGGATTACTGGAAGATGGTAGTCTCATGCGTGGAAGAAGATAGTCTCTTGGCGTTGAGAAACTGAGGTAGATATGCCTCTTATACACATCTAGATGTGTATAAGAGAAGATGGTAGTCTCATGCGTGGAAGAAGATAGTCTCTTGGCGTTGAGAAACTGAGGTAGATATGCCTGGAGAAAAAGATTGTTTCTGGAAGATGGTAGTCTCTGTCTCTTATACACATCTAGATGTGTATAAGAGACAGATGGTAGTCTCATGCGTGGAAGAAGATAGTCTCTTGGCGTTGAGAAACTGAGGTAGATATGCCTGGAGAAAAAGATTGTTTCTGGAAGATGGTAGTCTCATGCGTGGAAGAAGATAGTCTCTTGGCGTTGAGAAACTGAGGTAGATATGCCTGGAGAAAAAGATTGTTTCTTGGGGTTTGGTGTTGAGAAACTAAGTTAGGATAGGAGCATGGAAGGTTGTTTCTTGGGGTTGAATGCCTGGCTGGAAAAAAAGATAGTTTCTCGGGGTTAAAGCACCAGTACACCACACATCAGCCCACAGGTGTCAGCATGAAACCCGCACCGTTTCATAGCCGGCCTATTTTTTTTCTTCCCACGGCTCTCCACGCGGCGCGGCTCCTCCGAGTTTTGCTTGTGGCGACAAAAACTTTCTGCAAGGCTGGGGCCATATACTAGCGGTTTACGACGCTAAGTTAGGAGGAGCATGGATGACTGGAAGATGATAGTCTCATTGGTGGAAGAAGATAGTCTCTCGGCGTTGAGAAACTGAGTTAGATGCCTGGAGAAAGATTGTGTCTTGGGGTTTGGGGTTGAGAAACTAGTTTTAGGAGGCATGGAAGGTTGTTTCTTGGGGTTGAATGCCTGGAAAAAAAGATATAAGATAGTTTCTTGGGATTGAGAAACTAAGTTTTTTGGAGCAGGGAAGATTGTTTCTTGGGATTGAGAAACTAAGTTTTTTGGAGCAGGGAAGATTGTTTCTTGGGATTGAGAAACTAAGGACTCGTAAGGAGTAAGTACCTTTTTTTTTTTTTTTTTTTAAGCACTAGTACCTCCGCCAGTGTTGGGAAAAAAACTCCTAAAAATTCGGAGGCCCGGCCCAACGACGGCTGCCATTGATAAAAATCTCGTTGGTGCCCGTCGTTTTGTTTTGGCCTTCCTGAAAGGTCGGAGGCCCATCCGACCGAGGCCCGCTATTTTCCCACTTGGCAAAGGTACTAGTGGTTTAAGGAATACCTTGGGGTTGAGAAACTTGATTAGGATTATCTTGGGGTTTAGAACCTAAGTTAGGGGTATCTTGGGGTTGAAGAACCTAAGGAGTATTTACAAGGTATTGTTTGTGGCGGGCCATGTGGTCAAGGTTCTAGTTTTAGACTGGATTGGACTGGACGTCCATGGTTTAGGGTTTAGGGTTTATGCAACTGTTTCATATGTGTCTCCGTCAGGCCTCAGGTTTGTCGCCCATATCATGCGCTTTAGTTGAAGATTGAACAGTGTTAAGTGCCGGTGCTAGGATGGCGGTTTCTGCAGGTTGAGATAGTTCACGGAATAGATAGTTGAAGTAACTGTCTGAGCGCTTAGGCGTGCATCGCCCATGTGTTTTGTTTGAAGATATGGGTAGCATGAACTGTTCATACACAGAAGATAGTTTTTTTTATGCAGGTTGAGACGGTGGTTCATTAGAATTTAGAAGTATTGGAATGTGAAAAGAAACTATTTAAATGTGAAAACAAACTATCAATCTTCAGATGGCTCAGGTCCATTGGCCATGCATTTCATTGGAAGGTTGGTCATCTGGTTTATTCAAAGATCAGACACATTTTATTCAAAGATCGTACATGGATTTTATTCGAAGATTGGACATGCGTTTCATTCGGAGATTGGATAGCTTCAATGCTGTCTCTGCCACGGAGATGGTTTCGGGAGGTCGACACAGCAAGTCGGTTCATTAGGACTACAGTAGTGGATTCTATTTTTACTATTTTTTTGGAGCGTTGAAATTGACCAAGGCATATGGATAAGATTCTATTTTTAGAGCGGATTAGGTTGGTGGCTGCCCTAGGCCAGTGGTGCTCTGCAGTCCGGTCCAGTGGCGGAGACACGAAGGGGTTTATCATGCATGATGAGAGGAGGCAGAAGCTGGCCACTTGGGGTGGAGTGATAGCTGAATGTGGTAATTACTAGTTAGTGTGTTTACTCTAGTATACTTTTTTATGGTGTATAGCGGCTATAGCCTATAGCCTATAGCCACATTTTTTCAATTAGCCTTGCTTAAGGGCCACCGCCCATGTTTTGTTGCCGGCCTCGGAGCCTTGGCTCGTATCACAACTGAACCTGGGCTTCTTCAGATTTGGGGGGGGAAGGGCAAATCTGGGAAGGCAGGGGTAGTGTTTGAACTTTGAAGCCTTCTGATTCTGTGCAGCGGAAAGTGGAAAGGCCAGGGGAGCGTTTTCAATTTGCACGCCGGCCGAACCAGCCCTGGTCCTGTTTCTTTAGCCTGTTTGGGGCTAGAGGGCCTTCTATTGACTATTTTAGAACATATAGGGTCTTGCGTTTGGCTATGTGAGTGCATTTAGGGTCTTGTGCTAGCTATTTCAGAACGTATAGGGTCTTTTGTGGGTCCTTTGTTGGCTGTTTTAGAACATATACGGTTAAGGTCTTGTGTTGCGTATATATATATCAGAACATCTAGGGTCTTGCGTTGGCTATTTCAGAGCACATGCGGTCTTGTGTGGGCTATCTCAGAACATATATGGTCTTGGATTGGCTATCTTAGAACATATTGGGTCTTCGGTTGGCTATTCTAGAACATGTAGGGTCTTGTGTTGGCTATCTCAGAAGATATAGGGCCTTGGGCTGGTTATTTCAGATTATGTATAGGGTCTTGTGTTGGCTATTTCAGAACACCCCAGAAAGCCCATACTAGGATGACTATGCTTCGTAGAGGCATCCGGGAGTGGCTTATGATATTTATCGTATGTTGACAAGTGGACTAGCTTATGTTTCCCCCACCCTTTTCACCCTTTTAAACCACCGGCACCCCTCTGAGGGCCTCCTATTTTCTCACCTAGTTACAAGGGGTAGCTCCAGAAAGGTGGAGGAGAGCTGTGGTAAGGAGGCCGTGTCGGGAGCGAAGTCGTCCAAGAAACAAATGGTCGTCTTTGGGACTCGTTGGAGAGCTCATGATCTATTATACCGCCACTACTTCCGAGGCACTTTTCTCCGACCCTGGAAATGCCCTGCGCACCAAAAAAAAACGAAGCGGCGCGGCCTCCTTTTGGCTGGTGCTGCGAGCCATTTTGTTTCAAAGGCCGAGCCCCGAAAGTTGCAGCGTGTATACGACAAGGGCCCGCAGCCGATGTATGGGGGCCAAGTACTGGTTGTTTAACAGTTAGTTACATTTGTGTACCCATTCAGCCAAAAGGTAGGTACAGCTATTGGGTACTTTGCAAGGTGTATGGTAAAGAAAAAGCCCGAGAAACTATAGGCCATAGAGGCTATAGTAGAAAGACTACACTAGAAGATAAAATATACACCCATTCTAGGAAGACTATTAATACCAGATCAGAAATTCTGCTTCAAAGGCTAAGCTAGAAGGAGGGTATAAAAGAAAGATGATGCTGAAAAGGGGGAGGATTCGGTGAGAATTGAGAGTGCATCTCGTAACTCGGTAAGTTTCCTGTGCAATTTTGTCCTCTGTGTGTTTGAACGGGCGGTACACCCGAGCCTGACGGACTCGCACGGCGCACCAAGCTTTGCCAAACGGACAGCGGCATACTTTTTTTTAAGTTTTTTTTCTTTTTTGGCTTGCACCGCCAGCCATTGTGGTCTGGTGGATCCAAGTCTCCAAAATTTTAGGAGTGAGCCATTCGTTTTACCAAGTAGTTCGGGGCCATGTACTGGAGTTTTAAAGCCTTGTTTCAGGGCTTGGTTGGTTGTAGGAGATTTTGTCTAGAATAAGGCTATACTAGAAATGTGTGATTTTGAACTTTCGTATAGTCTGGTGATGCACTTTGCTATGGTAGCAAAATCGTCGAAGCACCTCCAGTTTCACTGAATATGTAGAGTGCTATAGACAAATAGCAGTACAGTTAAACCACCAGTACACTTGGGCCTGGAGGCCCTGCATTGCGGCCCAAGCTATTCCTTTGGCTGCCGCCGCCAGCCATTGTGGTCCGGTAGGCCCGAGCCCCGAAAAGCTCGGAGTTGACAACGCACAATTTTCTGCAAGGCTGGGGCCGTGCACTGGCGGTTTAAGTATATATAGATAGATGCAATAGAGTCAGTATAGAGTCTATAGACTGTCTTGGTCTATAGTGCCATTAGGAATGTCATCAGTGGTCACAGCAGGAGCACACAAGTGCTCTTACTATAGGTAGCAGAGTACTTGAAAAACCAGTAAACTGAGTAAAGTATATAGAATACTATAGACGAAGAGCGGTACAATTAAGCGTGCAGACAATACTATACGGAGTCACGGACTATATCTTGTGGTCTATACTGCCGTTAGGGATGTCATCAGTGGTCATAGCAGGAGCACACAAGTGCTCTTTCTACAGTGGGTAGCAAAGTGCTTGACGCACCGGTATATAACTCTGCAGAGTGCTATAGACGAGCACCAGGACAACGTATAGATAGAATAATACTATAGACTATGTCTGGGTCTATAGTTCCATTAGAACCATCATCAGTGGTCACACCAGGAGCACACTAGTGCTCTTACCCTGGCTGCTGTTCCTAGATTGAATTGGATATTTCGAAGTTACGTGTTCACAGGGCAAGAAAGGCCCTTCTCATTCATTGGTCTGTTTGTTTTTTTTTTTTTTTTTTTTTGCAAGTCGCTTGAAATTGTGAAGCATCAATGAAATATATGAACCTTCAAGACAAGTTTCCATACGAGAGATTTTCTCAATACGGCTATGCATGAGTACCACGAATTCCAAAGCTGCTATTGGTGATAACGGCTGAGCGGCGGGAACTCAAATGTATTGGACTATACTATTACTGCGACGTTGCCAAGCAGACTGCAGGATTTTGATAGATAAACTCTTGTTATAGCAATGAAGAACGAAGAGGAGGAAGAGGAGGAGGAGGAGGAGGAAGGGGAGGAGGGGGAGGAGGGGGAGGAGAGGGAGGAGGAAGAGGGGGAGGAGGGGGAGGAGGAAGAGGAGGAAGAGGAGAAGGTTGATGGTGGTGGCAATGGTGGAGGAGGAGGAGGAAAGGAAGGCAGTGACTATTGGTTATAGGGATGTAATGAACATGAGCCCGTAATTGTGGCAGGATTGAGTTCCACGACCGAGGGTTTAAGCTTTCCTTGCCCCGAGAAGGTTCTGAGTGGGCCGACGATGGTCCAGATTTGTCATCTTGGTAGTTTGCTTCTGGGTCCAGGACCATGATACCCTCAGAGCTCAGTTTGCACTCTATAAGGTCATGGGCAATTCGGTGAGATGATCGTGGTTGAGGTAAGTGGGGTTGCAAAAGCCCCCAGGGGTACTTCAGAAGTTTCACTTCACTTAGTACTTGCTGTTGGACTACTAGCTAGGTCAGAGCTGAGGAGAGGTAGGGGTCGAGACTTAGTAGTTGGGTCGTTTTTGGGTATAGTAATGGTGGCTAAGAACTGGTCAAAGGTGAAAGAGATGATGGAGGTGGGAGAAGTAGTAGCAGGTGGAGGACCAGGCATTAACAGCTTTGAGGGGAAAGGAGATAAGAGTGTCGGCCTCCCCCCCCACCCTGTGCCTCTCTTGGATCCATCCCAAGTCGCTCTTGGTGCGAATAAGCCACTAAGCGGGGCTAGGAATGAACTGCAGGGTAATGACCACAAATGCAAGGCTCAACAGCTATGGGACTCTGAATCAGTCCTGAGGCAGGATGGCAATGGACCTCCCGCTGTTCACCGTGTTGCCTTCAGCGGGCCTGCCACTCTTCCCGGAACAGGTCAGGTTCCTGCGGCGGGTCCTGGTCCTGTCCATAGTCAACAGGACATCAATGTTTCAGGAGCTATTTCGCACTCCGCTGCCACTGCCCCTGCTCCGAGTGCTGAACCCGGAGTAGTTCAAGGCCGTGCTGCTGTTCCTGGACTAGTTTTGAATAGGCAGGATCCCAATGGACCTGCAGCAGGTGGTTCTCACACCAATCCTGGTGGTACTACTGCTGCTCATGGAACAGTTCTGGTTCCAGCTTCTGTTCCTGGATCAACCGTGGATTCTGGTACAGCGACCAATTTACCGAAGCGTGCTGGCAGTGGCGGAGGAGCTCGGGGTCTGCTTCCGCCGCCTAGCTATGACGGAATAAGGGACCAGGCGATCGCCCGCCAGAGCCTGAGTCAAGGTGGAAAGCAGGCAGATCGGGCGTTACGGCATGGGCCCGCAGAGGAGGTCACCCTCCGCAATGAGATGTTGCGACGGGGAAAGCCGGCATCAGCTGTTCAGACAGGCAATGTGACTCTCACTCCCCTGTGGAAGGGGATACCCCCTTTGCAAGTGGCCGGTCTGGGGGGGGGGGCACCTTCTGCTAAACATCGTGGGCCACAGGGGGGTAGAACGCTTGCATGGGATGTCCAACAACAAGGGGAGCAAGTGAGGGCCCCTAAGAAGGTGCGGAAACACCGGGACGCTGGGCGGCACAAAGCGTCGCACAAGAGCCACACCAGCATCGGCTTCAGCGAGTTTCGAGCGGGCAATCCGGAGGTCACGGCTCTCATCTATGATGTCCATGGCCCTGTTGCAAGCAGACTCCTAAGGGACCTTGATGGCAAAACTGCCAGGGGTGTTGACTTTTCTGGCATGAATCTGAATGATGCATCGGATTCTGGTCCATTTGCTGGATCCAATGGTTCTCATTGGCCTGGATGGCGGAAGCCACAATCGAGTGGAAGTTTCGCAAGTACATCGTGGAGAAAGAGCAGTGGATTGCGGTTGAGGGATGTTGTGGAGATGACCATGCGGAACACAAGGAAGATTACAGTTGCGTGCCAGACTGACACGAGCGAATTGCCGGCGATCAAGGACCTGAGGAAGGTTGTGAAGGAGGTAAAGCAGGAGTTGGTGGAGGCTTACCGGCAGATGAAGCTGATGAGCATACATGTTGAGGCCAGTCATCAGCAGAGGTTGGAGAAGGAGGTAGAACATGCTGAGCAAAGGGTGAAGCGAAAGATAGCGGGGATAGAGGATGACTTTCAGAAGAAGATCAGTAGGTGCAGAGGTGCCATGCGGACCAGGGTTGCCGACATGCAGGCTGTCGAGAACAAACGAATGGATGACGAGGTCCGAGCCGCATTCGCCGCTGCAGAGTTGCAATACCAACAGGGAAGAGCTAGAGGATCCCAGGAGAAGAAGGAACTAGAGATGAAGATCGTGGAGATGGGTATGTTGCTGGAGAAGGAGAAGAAGAAGGCCTTGCTGCTGCAGGCTGAGTTGACTGAGAGCCAGAAGCAGCTTCCCAGCTTCACCGACAGACCAGATCGCCTACCGTCTGCAGGGTACAGCCTGAAAGTGGGAGCATCCCGCTAGCGGCTGGGTTGCTGGTCATTTCAGGCCTCTCTGCTACTTTCTGCAGCCACATGAAAGGAGAGAGCTTCAGTAGGTGCTGGTGACCAGTTCACTGCATCCGTACCTTGTGCAGGCAACGGTCCGAGAGTGGGAGGGCATTACTGGACTTTTTCGTGTCGGTTCAGGTCTTTGTACCTTCTGCAGAGCCCACTAGGTGCTGGGTTGCTGGTCAGTTCAGCCCTCTGCTACTTTCTGCAGGCCACCTGAAAGGAGGAGAGCTCCACTGGCTACTGCTTGGCCAGTTTACGGCTACACAACTCCAAGAGTGTGTGTGTGGGGGGTCCTGGCTGGTGCTTTATTCACAATGTTCATGGGACGCTGGACCCGGTTTCCAGCAGGTGCCGCTCCCCACCAATAGACAGGAGCATTCTGCTGTAAGTTCACTGTAGGCCGATGCTCATATCATCTCCTCTAGCGGGCCGAAGAGAAACTTGTTTAGGGGAAAACGAAGAAAAATGGTGTGTGCAGGTGTGCACGTGTGTATTTGAGAGAGAGAGAGAGAGAGAGAGAGAGAGAGAGAGAGAGAGAGAGAGAGAGAGAGAGAGAGAGAGAGAGAGAGAGAGAG